TTTTATAGCAAAAAATGCAATGAAACTGCATACGTCTAAAAATATAAAATTATACCTACAGTGATATTTTAAAATAAATGTTCAATATGATTTCCGTTAACATTTAAGAAACTATTAATATCTACGTGTTTGAAATGAATCGCTAACGCAGTTCAAAACAATATTATTAATGCTTCGAAAAACAGTTGTGATTCGTTCCTTCATGTCATTTTTTGTAGTTGGAGTTATTTTATAAGTTTCGTTTTTGACGTAAGCCCATAAAAAGAAATCCATTTTTGTCAAATCGGGTGAACGAGGTGGCCACTGAACAGATCCACCTCTGCCTATTCACCTCTCAGGAAATTAATTATTTAAGTACTCATGAATTTGAGCTGTATGGTGAACTGGAGCTCCATTATATAAATATTGACACTTATGTATTGACTTCCATAGCCACCTTAAAAAATGTAGCAATTTTTTGAAATTATTGAGTGAAATAAATTATAATTTGAAAACGGTTGATTTCACAGCTTAAAGTGTAAATGCAAATGTGTAACGTTATAAACTGTCTATCTAATGACGTATTAACATACAGGTACTTCCATTTGAAAAACAAAAGTGATATTGCGTTAAAAAGTTTTAGATTGAAGTCCACATTGTTAACACCCTGTACAATGTATTGATATTTGGGTTCAATAGAATTCTTCACAGATCTGTGGTGATTGGAAAGACGTATTTTTTTGAATCTTTAACTGATTTTTTTGCATCTACAATAAACTTTTAGATACCATGTTTTTAAGCAAAATTTTACTGAAATGGCGATAATCTGACATGACCTTGCATTTGAAGAGTCTGAGTTTGTCTTCGTTCGCTTTAGTCATTGTCCACGTTTCACATCCATAGGTAGTTATTGGTCTAATAATACTCTTATATATTTTTGCTTTGGATATCCCTGTCAGGTTTTTTGACTTAAGGAGATTGTGTAGGGAGTAAATCCCTGGACCTCGATTTGTGGCTTGGATTCTTCCTTTTATTCCTTCGGTGATATCATTATCTACTGTGATTGTTGCGCCTAAAAATATTTGAAACGTTCCACTCTTTCAAAGTTGTACGTGTTTATTGATCCGTTTTGTCCTATTCTGTCTCTTCTTCCGAGTCGGTTCACACACATGTATTTAGTATTTTCTTCATTTATCATTAGTAGAATAGTGTTACCGATCAGGTCGATGTCATCTGCATAAGCCAGTATGAGTTTGGGGCCTTCAGTTGATAGGAGTTCGGTTTTTATGTCCGCCCGCCTTATGGTTCTTTCCAGGACGATGTTAAACAACAGGGGTGACAAGGCCTGTATGCCTCTGTTTAGGCCCGTTTTTTATTTTGAACTGTTCAGATAGTTCAGAATGAGTTTCCTTGGCATTGAGAGTTCTGCCATTGCATTCCACAGTTGGTTTCTTTCCACACTGTCATACGTATATCTGAAATCTATAAAAAGGTTATGTATTGTCCTATTGAATTCCCACCCTTTTGTTAGAAGTTGTATCAAGGCGATAAGCTGATCGATAGTTGATCTTTCTCTTCTAAAATCCGCTTGGTATTCCCCTAGAGTGTTTTCTGCGAATTTCTCCAACAGGATATGTTCCAAGACCTTATATGCAGTATTTTTCAGTGAGACACCTCCGTAGTTAACGCACTTCGACCCTTTTTATGGATGGGAACTATTATACTTTCTTGCCACTTAGTCGGTAACTTTTCATCTCTCCATATGCGCATTATTAGGTTATGCATTTCTCGGTGTACTGCGTTCCCTCCATATTTGAGTAGTCCTAATATATTGTCGGAGCCAGGTGCTTTGCAGTGTTTTAGCTTATTCATGGCTCTTTGTACTTCAGCGTAGCTGGGTTTTTCTACTGGTAAGTCCGCAGTCAGGTATGTGTTTTCTATGTTCTTCCCGTTCCATATTCAGAAGATTATTGAAATGCTTTCTCCAGGTTTCTATTATTTTACCTTCGTTGGCTATAGTGTTTCCGTTTTCATCTTACATGACGGATCTGGGATTGAAATCTTTCCTGTCATTAGATATTAAATTGTAGAACTCTCTGGAGCCTGGCCTTGGTCTGCTTCTTTCCATCATTTCATATTTTTGACGTCCCTTCTCTCTTTTCTTTCTCCTTATCAGCTGTCTCGTTTGTCTGCGGTATTTAGTATATTCTTCTCTATTCTCATTTGTCTCGTGCTGCATTAGGATATTCCTTGTAGCTTGTCTTTTTTGAAGTTGTTGCTTTTCTTTGTCAAACCATGGTTTTGTCCTTTTGGTTTTCGTCTTTCCAATAGTCTGGTCAACCGCCTTTGTCATTGTGTGTTCCAAAGTGCTCCAGAGATCTTCAATGTCGGTATGTCACTCCAGTTCCTCTTCTATTTCCTGCATGTACTTTTCTTGTTCTTTAATTTGTAGTTTGGTGAGATTCCATTTCTCCTATGGTTTGCCCTTGGATATTGTTAATTGTTCTCTCGATTACGGTCCAGGTTGCCTCCGTCTCTTCTATCCTGATTTGTTTTATTTCTCTTTCTAGTGAGCTTCTTAGTTGCTCTTTTATATTAGGATCTCCCAGTCTTCGGATGTCTATTACTTTTTCTTGCTTTTTTATGGCGATGTCCAAATAATGGAGATTATATATTTATTTTCTGCTTTATCGTTTTCATATGTTTTGTAACATTTTTCGACATGGAAACATATAATGTTATTGTTTATTAACATATTCTATAATACTTTTTCTCGCGTTTTTTTTTTATTGTCAGGGTTAATTTTCGTAAAAGAATACATCCAATAAAAATGTAAGTGATTTAATGAACGATATCCTTCAAATCGATCCGTCAATCATTTCTGATTATCAAATAATCCCTGGACAACGCCCAGCCATTGCCCGGAAGTACCACCGCGCCATCTGACGTCCCAGCTATGAAGTAGCCCCGCTGTTGCTCCTCCCCTTACCGTCCCTCCGTGGTTCCTCCGATTTTCAAGGTTGCTTAAAATTTTGTTGAAAATGTGTATAATATTTTTTTTATGTAGAAACGCATTAAAATCATCGTTTGAAAATATTTTTAAAATAAAAATTGCATTTAAAGCTTTGTCATACGATTTTGTAAGTGAAGCATTAGATACAATTGTCAACGTTTCTTCTGATTCGCACTCATCACTACTCATGTTTATAAAAGTTCAGTTATGCAAAGAGCGGGTGCATCAAGCAAGTCCAAACGCGCCCTGGTGGCTAAATGGTGTTTATATCTGTTTGCGATTTGTTCTGGCCTAATCAACTTTTGCAAGCTGTTAACGAAATAGAAACAGATTGAAAAGTGTTCAGCGTTGCAGTTTCGATGTCTAACTACAACTCGGCAGAACTGAACACTTGGAGGCGTACCTGCTTTGTAATTTTCGGTATTGAAATACAATGAGCACGCCCGCATAGTATCTGTAACTGGCTTGTCCGTTAACAAAGCCCTTTTCCATGCTTTTCGCCGATCCACGTTCTTTTTAACGCCTTTTCTGTTTGTGGCGGCAACTTGGTCACTTTTTCTTTTTGGGAAATAATAGAAATGGGTGCTTCTGTCTATATCCTTTCGCAAGTGACAATCATTTTTCTTACAATTGCAACTCTCACTTTTCGCTTGTTTACCAAGTCTGATAGGTCTTAACTGTCACTCGACAACACGTAATTTGACGTTTTGCAGCGCCCCAATCGGTAGTTGAACGCGCTAATTATCATAATATAACGCCTCTAATACATTAATGGACGTTGACAACTTAGGCACATATTTGGAGTCGTCAATTTTAGTCAAAATATGTTTCAGAACAATATCTAATAAATTTTGAAGTTCTTGAAGATGCCCGAAGGGCTGACACAATAGTAGGGTTTGAGTTCAAAAATATAACTTTTACTTTTCTCAGTTTCAGCTCACGAGGATCTTGAGTTGTCCAGAAATAAGAGCACCATTTTTTTTAATTCCCATTTTTCTATCGAACTGAAACAACTATTCTGACATAATCTCTTGGTTCATCTACGTTTCTTGTTTGATTTCCAAATTGCTGTAAACTCCTTGCTGGCAACATTTTTCAAAGCACGATGGCGATCTTATTTTATCAACTATCAAGGCTTTCACGGCCGGTCCAATCACATAGAGAAATGTTAACCATTAGTCCAATTTTTAAGGAAAAAAGACGATGGATTTTCGCTTATAAAACCATTTCTTCTCGGTTAGAAATTCAATACAGGGTGACCCAACGGGAACAAACTATAAAAAAAAACAAAGTTTACATTGAAAAAAAACGTATGCTGTGATGTTATCGTCGGCCCTTCGAAACGATAGATTAATGAAAATGTTCCACCAGCATCAGCCTAAAATCGCTCATCGAGTTTTCGCTTCATTCGTTCGAATTTAAATCGGCAATATTTTTACTAAGTTAGAAGTCAACAATTTACCTCGAAAAACATCGCTTTGCTTTGTTGCTTGTGATTTGGTTCAAATCAATGTAAAATTAAGTTGCATTTTCAGATACTCTTTCCTATGCTGCCCCTGAGACAATGGCTGTATCATGTAAGTATCATACCTTAGAAACATCCTATAAGTGTTGGAAAGCATGAGCAAACGTACTTTTGAAACTTTGAACCAGACAATATGTCTGATTATGCACATATCCGTAATCCATCAGCCAATCCGAATTTTTGCTTTTTTCGGATGCCTCTGGCCAAAAGTCCACTAATATTAAGCAGAAAATCCTGAAACTATTTTGGTTAATTGGACTCTAATGTTTTTGGCAAAGTCATGAAATTAGAATAATAATCATACATAAAATCTCTCTTAGAGTTTATAAGTTTAAGATGAACACAGTTCAGTGGGCACAGCCTTAATTAAATTCGCAAGCATCTAACATACCGAATAGTTTTAGTTCTCAATTAATTCTAGTCACACATATTGCTTATTTTTAAAGATCAAGCTGAAAGCCTGAGTGCAACGAGAACTGCTAGTGGACGTGTCGCAAGAAAACCTAAAGGCAAGGACTACGACGATGTGACTCAAAAATCAAGTCGTACGCAAAAGTCCAAGTTCAAAAGTTGACTGAAAGACTACGTGCGGCTGTGCGACTTGCAGATACATATTAGACTTTCAACGTAGGTTTGCTCTGTGTTTTGAAATGCCGAGTTTTTGAGCAAACCTTTTAGTTTTTAGCCAGAACTGAGCGTTACTGAATACGGGCTGTGATTTTTTGTATAAGATTTATGTTTCAATGTAAGTCAGTGGAGCACACGACGTATTCTAAGATTAAAATACCTACTAAGATGTAATTATTATTTTTTTCTTATTCTAAGTAAGTGTAATTTACTAGAGTGGATTTCTTTTGGAAAAAGAATTGGCTCACATAGTTATGTTATTTACTCAGTGAAATTTGTATATTTGTATTTATAGTGTATTTTCCAGTGTCTAAAATGCAAAAAAACCAAATTTCGGGTTTCTTTGCTTCGGCATAAATAACTCGGGTGTTAGCCTACGTTGTAGTGTTAATTGTTAAACTGTAGTATAAAATTGATTGTAATACTTGTTGTGTACATCCCTCTGTACAAAGTCGATTATTTATTATTTTTCTCTGTAGTAAATGTATGTAAGAAAGATGTAATATGTTTGTAAATGTCCCTTGGCTGGCTTGAAATAAAATTTTGTTGACAATGTTATGCCTTTGAATTCTTGATCCTGGATGCCATATCAGAATGATAGACTTTGATAATGGGAAAAGTATTAACTGTAAATGTCGCCGAGTTTGGTCCTAAATGGCATCCTCTATAGCAATGCATAAACCGCCGCAAAAATTGCAAAAACCAGTTTCAAGGCATGACGGGGAAAACTTGCCTCTTGAGAAATTGTAAAGTTTAGATAAAAAAAAGTCTACTTCGGTAAACCTGACTATTTAGACCCGCTTGCACCAAGCCGCTCTAGAAGCCCACCTTCAGGCCCGTTGAAAATAAGCTTGTCTTTGCCATTAAACTCAGCTTTAAAATGAAATTGGTTTGCTCCACATTATAAACCAGGCTTACAGCATTCAAAGCTCGGCTTAAATTAAGCCGTAAATTCTAACGTTTTCATTCCTCATACATGTGGTGATAGTTAACAAAATTTAAAATTGAGGACGATCTAGATATATTTGAGATAATCGAATTTGGATTTCCTAAGACGATATATAACATAAATAATCTATTGTTGGACTTGGAGGAACTACAAACTTTTAAAAAAATGTTTGGGTTCTACAGAACCACCACATATATAAATGAGTTGGATTATTTAATTGATATAAATGAAACCATAAATAATCTTCAAAATTACCGCAACACTACACTACAACAATTCTTTAATTATTTAGAAAATTTGCGTTCAAATTTTAGTCAGTACAAAATAAAATTTCAACACCTATATAAAATTCTTGACAAAAATCTAAAATACCTATATAAAATTTTGATACCAATATGAAATAGAAAATGGTTAACAGATGTATTTAAAATATGAACGTTGGGTTGGAAAACACTCTAAACGCAAGGTTCCTAAATTGTACAATTTGATTGGTTGAGGCGAGCGAATGAGGATGAATGAATTATTTAGGTAATATTTATAATAAATTTAGAGTTATTCTTATGTTAAAGTACTTAATGTTTAGTTTAGTTTTAGTCTGATTTTTTTTGGTTACTTTATTATTAGTTTAGTAGTTTGTCTTTTGTTTACTTTTAGTTATTTAGGTTTTTAATATATTCCGTGTCCCTATATGCATATTCTTATATTTATGTTTTTAATATAAACTGAATAAATGCACTAGATTTTTTATTTTATTAATCAAAATTGCAATTCTTTTTTTTTCCATTTTTAATAAGTGTGAACAAACTTTAGAACATTATTAACTATTATCTCAATTTTCATTAGTCAATTAATGGTAAATATTTCAAAGCAAAAAGAAATATTTTTTAAATATTATTAAAAAAATATTTGTTTTTAATATTTAATTATCATGAAACAAATAAATTAATAATAATTTTTCTTAGTACATAATATTTTTTGTAACTACATATATATAAAACCATTAACATCCAAAAAGTTACTAATATATTATTTTTAATAAGTATGAACAAACTTTAGAACATATCTCAATTTTCATTAGTCAATTAATGGTAAATATTTCATAGCAAAAATAAATATGTTTTAAATATTATAAAAAAATATTTGTTTTTAATATTTAATCTATATCCACGGTATATACAAAAATTGGTCGAAAATAACTTTTGCGTGTCCGCAGCAGAAAAGTAAGGGTACGTAAAAGTAAATTCTTTTTTACAGCTAAAACCTGAGACCCTTATTAAATGCTGAAAATATGGTGTTTATTAAACCAGACTAACAAAGTCCCAAGGGGTGGTAGCCATTAAAAAAATCTAATAAAATTTGTTAATTAATATTAATGAAACAAATATCTAATATAAATGTCAAATAAATATTAAAAAATTATGTTTTTTAAATATCTGATATAAATGTCAAATAAATATTAAAAAATTATGTTTTTTAAATATTTGATATAAATGTCAAATAAATATTAAAAATATATATTTTTTAAATATCTGAGTTAAATGTAAAATAAATATTTAAAATATTAAAAAAATATATATTTTTTAAATATCTGAGTTAAATGTAAAATAAATATTTAAAAAATATATTTTTTAAATGTCAAATAAATATTTCTTAAATATATAAGAATCTGTCGCGTCAAATCTATATTAAATATTTCAAAAGAAATATTACCGTAATATTTGTGCGCTATCGGGGTAGATGCCTTATCGTTGGACATCCGGGGGAGGTAGGATTCCGGGACATTTGTGTTGGAAAATGGACGCCAATTGGACAGCAATCGGACAAATGATGGACATCCATTGGACATGCGGCTGCCCGAAATCCGTTGCCCTATGGACGTCCAATGGATTTACTAATGTTGTTTGGGAATATTTTTTAAAGAAATATTATAAATATACCTATTGACTTATGTTTATTTTGGTATTGCTGAAAGTTCATAAAAATGCAAGTTTTGAAAAATGCGATTTTATGGAGCCCTTAATAATGAAAGAATGAGTCTACCGATTTTTTACGATATCTAAGGAAAAATGTCGAGCTTATCTACCGAAATTCGATTTTCGGACCTGGCAACGCTGCTGTAAACTACAATCGGCCTTAAAGAAGAGGGAAAATATTTACATATAACCTATCAGAAAACAGCTATCAAAGTTGAGCTTGTAAATAAATAGATCTAGATTTAAACTATCAAGTTTGAACTTCTACTCCAGGTGTGACTAATTTCAGTTAAAATAATTTATATTAAACAAAAGTTTTTAGTTATCTTGTTTCTCTGCCTGAATTAAGATGAGTGCGATGCCGGTAAGCTCATCCACCTTGCTACCATTGGGTAAGTTTATTGCTAATATTTTTGAAACTTTGGTCAATGCCTGACTCTGTACGTGACTTAATTATAATAAAGGTTCTCATAATCCCAGCAGAACGTTTACAAAACATGTTCGGTTTACTTAAAGTTCCGGAGTAAATAATTCATTATAAATGTGCTCCTGATTCGGTCACATTCGCTTTGAAGATAGTATGATGATAGATACCTACTTAGATGTGACGACATACTATGTTACTTTCATAACTGTATCTGTATGTACACAAATTGGATTATAGAAAATCCATTTCTATTACTTTTCTTATTGATATTTTTCGCGAAAATGCGGTGTTTGGACTACTTCAACCAATGAAATTTACATCTTTTTCATAAGCGCAAAAAAGATAACATATACAGAACAAATACCCGGAAAAATCTAAGTATAGTTTTTTTGTAAGTACATGATTTTTAGATACATTTTTGGAAGTAGACGATTAATTAGTTGTTTTGTAAATTTGACTTTCTATCTCGGTCTACTTTTGCGTAAATGGTCTACCCGACATTCTTCCGGATGGATGGATCATTGATCTTCCGGTCCTTTGCGTAATTCGCGAGTTCAAAAAGTGTAAACGCCCACTGGCGGCTAAATTATAATCACACATTAACTAGTGAAATTTGACACTAATTTTGATTATATGTCATTATGACTTATTTTGTTTAGTTCTACTCAGTTTTGCAAGCTTTTAAACATAGAAACATCTTGAAAAGTGTGTAAGTATTGTTTTTTGTTAAGGACTTAATGGTCAACGTAAAAGAATGAGATGTCAAGAAGGTATTCCCAATGTAATCGTGATTTTAGCAGCTAACAAGCGAGTAATGTTTACGTGCCGCAGCACCCCCATAGGTAGTTGGACTCGCGAATTCCAAGACAAAATAATTATAACTCAGAATGTCAGTCACAGCTAAGTGACGTGTGCGTATCTCTTTAAATAGAAATGTTTGAAAATAAATCATGTTTATATGATTTCTTTAATTTTTTGACAGGCCACTTTCATAATTAACACTAAATGGATTCCATATAATGTTGAAATTACAATCACCATCTAATGGTTCATTTTTGACGATATCGTAAACATTTCATTGAATACATTTAGTTTAAAATAATGTGGTGTAAACTAACTGATAAACTACTTTTTTTTTAATTTTGACTTGGACCACTTTCATAATTATATAATTATGGGCACATATATATTCATATCGGCGAGTGTATTAGTGCCGGTGCACACGAGCGTTTTTTAACGGTGCGGTGACGCGCGTTTCACAAATACATTGGCTACAATGGAGCAGTTCACACGAACGTCGACGTCGCCCACCGTTGTTTCACCGTTGGACGGTAACGCCGCGTGGAAATCCCCACCGCCGGTGACTGCTGGAACGCTGGCGCTGCTTCGCCGTCGGACGTCGAAGCAAAACCATACACGAGCAAAATATCTGTCATATCTGATACGTGGCGAGCCAAATTTGAAGAAATATCGGTGCGTTAATGGTTAACCACGAGCCAGATACTACTCGATGCGAATTTTGTACAAAATAAATTGCAGATCTGGAACCAAATTTCGCCGTTAGTGGGAACGGGCGAATACTAGTATCATATATTATTGCCGCCTAAGCAGTCATGCTATTGCCATACTTCCGCGGCTTAAAGAAAATACATATTTAAATAAAATTTAACGGTTCGCATTGGTACAGATTTGAGATATAGTCCATAATGTTATATGTAATTCAAGCAATGGGCAAGAGGTGATGATGGAAAATTTGGCTATACAAATCTTGGAAGATAGTAGCTAATGTCAGGATAAAATCACTACTTCGATTACGAAGACGAAGCTATTCAGAAAATACCCAGTAAATAGGCGGAATTTGCAGTATTTCACTAAGAAAGTGGTAGATCAATTTGCCTTTTTAACGTTGGTTTTAATTAGTTCGGTTTGTATCGTTTGTTTGATTTTCTATAATTATGTATTTAATTGTTTTAATAATAACGTGTTTATAAAAAAAAATCCCAGCGTGCATTCGATTTCTAATTTTTTTGCCGCATTTTTGCCTGTGGCTGCCGACGCTCTTCCAGTCTATAGTCTCTAGTCTACCCACTTCTCACTTTTTTTGCGTAGAACTTTTGCTTTTTCTGAAACCACTATGATGCCAGCACAAGCAATAGCTATTCGTTTCTTGCTTCGCATTTTAAACACTTAGTTGCCTCTGCCACGACCAGATCTTTCAGTTCACATGAAATACCACGCGCCAGACCAAGTCTGTCTGAAACATAAGATTTCACTCCACTAACGGACGGATTTGATACCTCCAATCCGACTGGAAGAATCGGCACTCGTGCTTGGTACGTTAATTAGTGGACAGGAAAAGATTTAATTCGTCCGATCTGGATCTCTACGTATCTGAACTGTACGGATAATCTGCCCGTCTATGGGGCGCTATTAGCGTATATGTGCCGGTTCACACGGGCGGTAACGACGACCTTAAAACGTTAAAAATGACGGAGGTTGACTACGATATCGAATTGATAATTGAAGAGTTTCACGTGTAATTCATCATACGGTTTGAGCCTCATACGGAAGTAATTAAAAACTTTGTTTCGTCGTTCCTAAAATCCCCAAAATCGCGAGCAGATGCTCCTTTTAATGCACGATGAACCCAATAAGTTATTTTCTTTTTACAAATGTAAAATTTGTATTCGTAATACGCAAACAAAACCCGTTGTTCATAATCGACCTCCATGCGTGCACTAAAATTGCGTTGTGTCGAAATAAATCTATCATAAAAATATGCGTCAACGCACCTTTAAAAAACGCTCGTGTGCACCGGCACTTATATTTCTTATCAAACGATATTAATAACATGTTGTGGTTGATTAGTGACCGTGATGATAACCAGTAAGTAATTTTTCGATAGCGGGATTTTCGGTCAACGGATGGTGGCAAAATAAAACACTACTTTTTCATGGGCCAACGTTTTGACTTATTACTAGACCAGTCTAGTAATACACCTGCCTTGAGTAAATATGGCACTGACTTCATAGAGCCCTGAGGATGACTTGAATACAGTCAAAACGTTGGCCCATGAAAAAGTAGTGTTTTATTTTGCTACCATCCGTTGACCGAAAATCCCACTATCGAAAAATTAATTACTGATATTAATAACCTAAAGCGTCAAACTTTCGTCTAGATGACGTCCAAATGACATTTTTTGGTCTTATACTGGACCATGGACCAATAAGTTAGTAAGTCCAAGTGACGTGTAAGTAAGTCACATGACTTTATGACGTCTAAATGACGAGTAATTAACGTCTTAACTAGTCATAAAGACGCTAGAAAAACGAATGCAAACGCATTAGAGTGAATCTTTATATAGGGACAGATGCTCTAATACATACAGATTTTATCTGTCCCAAAAATGATGAATTGTAGAAATGATGATTTGGAGACTTAGTATATACTAAAATGAAGCTAAACGGAATAAAAAACTTGTTTACTAACATATAATTGTGTCAATTTTACATACATTTTTAAAGATAGAGAATTCGTTAAATGGGCAAAATTGGACAGAATTCGATCGCCTATTCATAACCGTTTTCTAAATTTAGGTACCCGCTTGGTTCCTGGAATATTCTGAAAAGGCAAGAAATCAACACTTTTTTAATTATCACTTATTACGTAAACTGCTTAACTTAGAAAAAAAGTTAAAACGGCCCTTAGTACAACTTTTTGCGTTGAATCCAATAAAATAGCACCCGTTATCATAGTTGGCTGTGGCCTTTTAAAATCCTTATTTTTTTCTGAATTTAACGATATAATTGTTTGTATGTTTGTCTCCTTTTGTTGCCGTAAAACTTCAAAAGAAGATAAAAAATGTGTAGTAGGCTATGAAAACAAGAACTAGATTATCACACAAAGCGCATTTGCGAAATAAACTCAAATCTCTTCTTAATGATTTGTCTGGTACTTTTCAAGTAATCCCTCATAAAAGAAATGGCGTCCCTGTATTTTGATTAGTTCCAAAATCTTTGTCTGAGAAGATTCCATGGCAGAATCCATCGCAATACAGTGCACGGTCAAGACTATGATGACATAATTTTCCGCAGAAATATACTATATATTTGAGACGACTAATTGATTCAAATCCTCCACATATGTAAACATGCTTTACGGTCATCTACCAACTTATATTAGCCTGTTCTTGTTTCTTATATATTTCTATAATTGTATCACAATTTCAGAACTAGTGGACAAATGCATTGGTTCCCGAATTCATATTATCATGAAAAATGACAAGGAAATCGTCGGAACACTGCTGGGATTTGACGACTTTGTAAACATGCTCTTGGAAGATGTGACAGAGTACGAAACAACCCCTGAAGGGAGACGAATAACCAGATTAGACCAAATACTGTTGAACGGAAATAATATTACCATGGTAAGATTCAGATTATTCAAGTAGTCAGGAGATCCAAATTCAGGAAAATTTATAATTATTATTCATTGATTTTATCTCGTTATGTTAGAAATCAAGGTGAAAGTCTCTATATCAGTATAAATATACAGGATGTGTCAGCACAGCGACACTCCCCTCTTAGATCGCTCAGAAATAGCGACTGAACCAAAAAACGTTCATATGAACATATGAACTGGCATTGAGCGATCGTATATACGAGGGCCTCGCCGCTCAATGGTACCGCTATTACTATCGTGTAGTACATTCTGATAGACGGCTGCTATCAAATTTTCAGCCAAATAGCAATCGTAGTTTTGCTTTGACCACGTGTGAAAGCGGGAGTGTCTGCAGGTTTCGGAAAATAGGGAAATAGTTATATCGGTCGGTGATTCGATTCTTGTTTCTGGAAGGAAAATCACAAAGAGCACTTGGATGCGGAGTATGGTTACTACTCAAAAATTGGTTTAACGAGCTTCAACGTGGTCGCACGTCGGTTTTTGATAAGCCGCGCCCATATGTCCAGAAAAGGACTACCACAGAGGATAACATAACAAAAACGACGATCTCGTATTGGCAGACTGCCGATTGAAGGTGGGTGAGTAGTTGAGGCAGTAGGCACCCCAAAAGACCGCCTGGCATGCTGCGTTTGCTTGCTCCGGACAACAAGCGAAACCGTGAGACCACTTCAGAGAAGTGTTTTGGGCAATCCAAAGGAGTTGCATCGTTTCGTGACACACCAGAGACCAAGGAACAGTAGAAACAGTGGACTTTGGCCGGCGAACGTGCTCCGAAGAAGGTGATGACTGTCCTAAAGGCAGGAAAGGTGATGGCTACGGTTTTCTGGGATTCACAAGGTGCGATCTACATCGACTATCTGAAGAAGGTAAAAACGATCATAGGACTCTACTATACTGAATTATGGGGCCGATGCGCCGCCAAACTGCGGAAAAAACGGCCCCATTTGACGAAGATAAAGTGCCTTCCACCATGACAAAGCACCGGCTCACACCTTTGGTCGAATTGAGCTCCGAACTGCTGCCCCATCCACCGTATTCCCCAGATTTGGCCCTGTGCGACTTCTTTTTGTTTCTATACTTGAGCAAGTCACTCACCGAGCAGAAAATTCAGTTGAATGAGGAGGTCATCGACGAGAAAATGTGTCTTTCAGAAGTTGGAGCATCGCTGGGTCAAGTGTATCGAATTAAAAAGAGACAATGTTGAGAAATAAATCGCCACTTTTCCAAAATTTTCGGTTTTTGTTTAATGGTATGCTAAGTACTTGTGGGACAGACCTTAATGGCTGACTTTTTAATCCAGTTTCAAGTTCTACGTTGAATTCGAAGTATTTTTTGTATAACATACTTAGTGACTAAATTCAACATCTCATTTTACCAAGAGTTCAGGAGTAGAAAAGTGTTGACATTATCATCCCCCCACTTTGCCCTCAAGGTGCGTAACTTTTTACATCAATCATATCATAGATGGTTACATTGATGAAACAGAATATTAATTGGCCAGCTAGATTACCTGACCTCACTCCTTGTTACTTTTTTCTTTGGGGATACATCGAAGAAAAAGTCCACCAAGTTTCTCCAATTGATCCGGAGGATATGAAGTAGAGAATCAGGAAGTGTTTTCTACGAATAATCCCATACATGCTGCAAGGAGTTCTTCATAACAACGTTAAAATATTAAAATTATGCCTCAGTGCAAATGGGAATACGTTTGAACATTGGTTTTAATATTATTTTCAAATCACAAAAAAAATATAGTTTACTTTGCGTTCCCATATTCAAATGTCGTTATGTTCAAAACTATTGGTTTCAATGCATGGTAAACAAAAATACTTCTAATTCAATGTAGATCTGGAATCTGGATTAAAAGTCAGCCATTCCATTAACACTACCACAATTTTATATAAACATTTTTTTTTTTCAGTCGTTATTTCTGTACGATTTTAGAGGGCGGTGTCGCTTCCCTGACTCACCCTGTATAACTGATAATAAATATATGACAAATATGATATAAATAGTAATATATACTAATCTAATAATAATTCTGTTAAATAATGTTCATTTCAATTTCTAGCTAGTTCCTGGTGGAGACATGCCCGAATAACATGCTGATATAAATACAAATAATCTTTGATAAGTACATTAATAGTTAGGTAATTACACTTGTAAAGTAATTAAACAATTTTTTACGAAACGCATGTTTTTTTTATCCTTTAGGAAATCAGCGTATGTTACATGAACAGTCAACATTATTCGCGAGTTCAAAAGTCCAAACGCTCCCTGGCGACTAAAATTTTAACTACAAGTTAACTAGTAATTTGACACTTGTTTTGTTGACATTGGTGTCTACATCTAACTGTGATGTGTTTTGATTTAATCAACCTTTACAAGCTTTTCATTTTTGTTTTTTACTCATTCAATTAATTCATATTAATTGTTGTAATTGCAGCTCTCTTTTCGCTTGTTTACCAACTCCAGCAAATAAACAAGTCTCAACTGTCATTCGTATGGAATTACTAATAGAGGCTCGTTCTGACGGGTATGCGGTCAAATCACTGGGTGATTTTAATAACAATAATCTACTTCCGTCAGAAAAATAGAAACTGCCATTTCAAAATTTACGGCGCAATATGTCGATAGTATTTCCTTATATCTGATCCCTGAAGTAATATGACAACATTGGAATTTTGCCACTAGTTTTTAAATAGATCTAATCAGGATCATTATCTTGTGTGGTCAGAGAGTGAAAAATAGTGTGGTCAGATGAATTAAATCAAATGAAAATATGATTTATTGCCACAGAAACATTAAACCAAATTTTATGTACAAAGAGAAAAGGTCGAATTGCAACTTGTGGTATTCGTATTCGTATAGACATAACGAAACAAATTGGAAATTCACGACAAGAACCCGGACTGAATCGAAATAACTGTTCCGTTCGGGTTTAAGGAAACATTTTCAATTCAGGTTCGGGTTTTTTCTTCGGTTAAATTTGTTTCCAATGTCTATAATACAACAAACGAGGACACAAATAGAAGCTATTCTATCTGGGAATCTTATTATATTTTTCCTGGCTTGCTGTCTACAAGGTAAAAGATGTGCGAACGATTCACTGCTTCATACTGTACTTCGACTGGTTGTACGGTAGATACAATTATAATAAGTAAGTATATAAGGATTTAAACTAAGGTAATATTAAATGAAACAACCTTGAAATAAGGACTTCTATACAAAAATGTATTTAATTGTGGAATTTTTTATTGGTTTTTCGGACTAGAGCTTTTTAGCAAGGGGTAACCCTTACTAAAACTATATATAGCTTAATTTTATTTATAAAAAATATATAGTTTTAGTAAGGATTGCGCCTATTCTATATTTTTATTTAAATAGCTCAATTAAAGCGCCAACCGGTGATTGAAAGAAAATTACGAATTTACGATAACTTTAAAAACATTTATTAATAGGAATAGGAAAAGTGGCGTTTCGGCGAGTTGACCATTGCCACTATTTTCTTACTTGCCGATCCCGACATGCTGTTCGGTTCCATTTTACGAGTCGTAGACACATTATTTTTTATCTTTCTCACATGAATTTTTTGAGGCACCGTTAACAGAAGAATTTTCTTCCGTATAATTTCCACGGTTTGAGATTTTTCTTTTATATTCCCTTGCCATTTTTCTGCAATAAATAAGTGGCCACTTATACCTTCAGACTTTTGGTCATTGATTCCAACTGCTGCTGATGTTGTTTTGTTTTTTAACTTGTTGTTATCAACTAGTTGCTGCCGCCCTCTATTGCTCTTGCCCGAGTGTCCAAGCAGAGTTACTGGAAGGCACAACCATGTTCCACATTGCTGAGTTGCAACATGGTAAAACTTTTCAACAAACACTAGTTTCCACGCCGATGTAAATAAATTGGCATTATAAAGTGCAGGTTTTGGTAATTTCAGGCTGAACCCAGCAGATGAGAACTAATAGGCTCGGAACCGGTCCTGGGGGTGCCCGTCGTTGGCGCATTTCGAAATCTGCACTTTTCATTTGGGATATGATTTATAAAAACGACATTACGAGTGAAATCAAGCAAGCAATTTATCTGAACAGTTCATCACGCGTTATTTGCATTGTCCACGAATAAAATTGAATTATTTAAGGAATCAGGAAACGGAAATCAAAGTTCCATTGCTGGACCTGTAAACGATTCAGTATATAATTTCAAAGTTAAAATCAGGATTTCTTCAAGCGTTTAGAGTCATTTTGATGAAATTCTACTTGCTGATCCTGGCTGAGCCCACCACAATCATCAAACTGGAGGTTATTTTTTTGATGCTTCCCCTTGGTTCCTTCCCGTTTTTTTTTAGTTAAATCAGCTAAAAAAAAAAGAAAACTGAGTTTAGTTACTGTACAAGCTAAACGGCAATATTATCCGCTACAGTCACATAGCCTGAAACATAAGGTTTGAACCACAGTTCATGCTTAAAATTAGAGTTACTGTTAAGCCTTAAATTAATTAGGACAAGCAAAATAAATACAGGGTGTATCACCGGAAATCGCTTCAACCAATACATCTTATGTATACTGTGGCCAAAGGAGCCAAGCGATTTGAAGTCACACTTCCGATTATACCGGAAGAATCATCAGCTTGCTTATTTTAGATGCAACACTCTGTATATTATTACTCTTTACAATTCTAATCAAAATTCTAAATACACCCTGTATTTGTCTGTCCCTGAAATAACTGCAAAGTTCTCAAATTATCGATTTTTATCAAATAATTTCTAAACGCTTATATCGATGTTCACTAAATTTGGTATCGCAAGCGTGACCTGTTTTTAATGCTTGGAAATATTAAAAATAATGACTGGTTCGTTTATAAATGTTTGAATTTTGTTAGCCTCTGTACAAATAAGTTATATTTTTCTGCTTCTAGCTGATTTGCTTTTGAAATTTTTCTGCCTCTTGTAAAATTTTCTTCAGACTTTCAGTTTCTGTACAAAAAATTATTTACAATTCCTTGCAGGTCATCATTCTTGTGAAATAAGATTATACAAATTCCTTTTTGTGTTTGTAAGTCGATTATATTGAACCTGAACAAATTATTTCGTATATTTGACAAACCGAAAATGTTCACTGCTTTTTGGTGTTGAGCGAAGAGAATAGATAGATCGGAAGAGGCAATGATCCACCCATAAATTGGCCACCAAGATTTAACGACGCTAGGTTTTTTTCTGTGTGGGCTCTCTTAAATCAAAAGTATATGCTTTACCCGTCGCTACAGAAGCCGAGCGAAAAATGTTCAATAGCAGAGTATTTTTTGCGCATAAATGATTTGACCTACATGAAAATTTGTAAAACTATATTTTTTTTGTACTGAATAATCATTAGTTTTCCGTAGTTCAGACGGCGACCAGTTTCCGAGTTATGTACAATTTTTCTAAATTATTTTTACCTACTTGTTTGCACTTTCGAGACGTTTACAGAGAACATTTCAAATCTACGGATGTCTGACCAACTCTATCTTGTAAGTATACATTTTTGTCAAAAATGCATACTTACCGAGTCATATGCGATTGTTTCCTAAAAAAACGAGTAAAAAATGTTCGCATTCTTTTTCACTGTTTCGTTGCTTACGCAAATAGACACCTTGTCAAGCTGGCGCACCTCGATATTTTCAATAGTATTCAACTGTATTTTTGTTTAGGGAAAAAAGTGGAATGTTACCAGAATACATTTGTAATAGAATTAAGTTTTTTGCCCATTCTTATAATACTAGAAACCGAAATGATTTTATAATGACAGAAATATGTAATACAAGTGAAGTGCTCAACTCAGTAATGTGTAAGGGCTTGTTAGATTATAATGTGTTGCCTAACCACATTGTGAAAGTTTTAGTGGTTTTAAAAAGATGTTGAGAGCACATTTATTGTCTTTAACGTCTGAATAATTTTTTTTGGGCGCTTTTTTAAATTTGTTATTATTACCAGTTAGGTTGTTAAATTGATCGTTTTCATTTATAGCAAATATGCTAAATAAAGACTATTATAAAATTGTCGACAATAAATTACAAAAATTTTACCTAATCGTAATGTTTTCTATCTCTTCCATCTTTTGAATAAGGGTCACGGACAGTTATTATTAACCGGCAACCCCGCGGAAAAACCTTCCATGCGGTTTAACTTCTCTACAGACAAGTTATGACAAAACCATGGCTATTCAATAATCATAACCAAATCAAAATTAATTCCTGGATTTCAGTCATTTATTGTCTTTATTTATCAATTAAAATACGTTTCGGTGTATTTTTCCACCATCATCAGTTTTTATGTGTAGCGTTGTTGTTGCTTGTATACTACTATGTATGCCAAGGCTTAAAGCAGCAACAACGCTACACGTAAAAACTGATGATGGTGGAAAAATACACCGAAACGTATTTTAATTGATAAATAAAGACAATAAATGACTGAAACCCAGGAATTAATTTTGATTTGGAATTGAAACACAGTCATCATAACCTGATTTGGTCTGCAGCTCAATGCATTCTTTATGGGTGAGAAACTGGACTACTTCGTCTGACGTCATCAAGCTTTTTTGATTTCAACACTACTGGCTTGCTGCGGTTTGCGTATTGTACTTTCCTCAGCGCTACAGAATAGGCCGAAAATAGGCTCCTGTGATGGGCTGTTCCTGCGACGTCAAGTACGCAATAAGAACGGCGGAACTACCAAAACCTTACCTCGAACGTTATTTACTTGTTTATTTTATTTGGCAAAGACTAATTACTCTCTGGTATTGGTTCTTTTACCTATTTAAAAAAAAATGCATTATCAATCATATATTCGCTTATTTGGTATTTAGCTGGTTTGATTGTTATGTTACCAACGATTTTGTTATTGAAGAGTGGAAGTACCAATCAACTCGCACAACGTTATTAAAGTGTTTACGACAATCTTTATGTACATTTAAGAAATATTGAAGATGAGTTTATAAAAAAAAATATTTTTGAAAATTCCGCGGAATCTGGAAGCGATTCAGAGTTAATAGTGTAACTGTGTAACAGAAGATGTTTTTAAAGAGTGGCTTCAAGAGCACTCTGAAGATACAAACACTAACTGGATTATAAGAAATGATATATATAATCCTCAAAGGTAATAATTTAGTGTTTATTACAAATTAATTATACACGCTCACTAATAATGTTATTATTTTAGATTAATATATCACAAATATTTTGTGTGCCAACATTCTGAGAAATAAAAAGAACAAAAAAACTAAAAATGATTCCAATAGACTTAACATACTGTTCTGTCAGTATAGAAATTAAAATTAAAAAATATAATACATATATATAGCACAAAAAAGAACGATAATTTTTTGAAAGATGAAGTACCTTTACAAGGAGTTGTTAAAATGAAAATAAATCATAATCATAATATAAACACTTGTGGATCACTTAAATTATTGCGATTACAAAACTAAGAGGCAATTTGAAAGCTAATTTGAAGATGGCTGAGGAATTAGTGAAAGTATAAAGTGACTTCAAAATACTTTACTTTTAAACACTTCCATTGATTTGCCAGAGATAGCAGCAAATTCTTGATTAAATCCTACATACAATATTGTAAAAAATACTTAGAAGTATTGGTGGGAAGCAAATTATTATTATTTACATTATGGTGGGTTCCGCCGTTCTTATTGCGCACTTGACGTCGCAGGGACAGCCTATTTTCGGTCATAGTCTCCTGTGATTAGGAGCCTATTTTCGGTCTATTCTGTAACGCTGAGGAAAGTACAATACGTCTACATTTGCAAAATGATTGGACGCGGCGGGCGCATTCGGGTGTTTTGTTCAGAGGAACATATAACGTACCTTCATAATCGAGCATGAAAAACATACATTATCTGAAATTACCTACCATAAGTTGTTTTATGACAAGGATGACACTTCACCAGATGAGCGGACAATTCGCTGATTTCGGCAAAGGCCTGATTGCACTTGGAACATGCATAAGGTAAAACTGACCGAATCACGTCAGTCAGCACAATTTTGTGTGTACCTAAAATGTATAATGCTAAAGTAATTTTTCACAAACCAGAGAAAGAATATTAAAATAAAATGTTTCTTCCGATTCGCTAGGTATTTTATTTTCAAAAGATCATCAAATTAAAGTGTATCATCATATTTTTAAGTCAGGATAATTAAGCCTGAGAAAGTCCATGTGAAATGTGTATTAAATAAATTGATTCCTAATGAAAAAATCAGAACTCTCAGCGGATTATAATTTAAAAAAACTACAGAATACTAAAGACCAATTTAAGGAAATATATAGCCTTATACCATGGTGAGCCAATAATTCGTCTCTATTGGAAAATCGCTTAAAACACACGATGCATAAAATCATTCCATGATAGTCTTCGTAATGGTCTGAAAGGTCTTGTAGGTGCTTGAACCACTGCTCGCAGAGATCGCAACTAATTATAACCTAAAAATTATATTTTTAAATTCGGATCTTGAAATATCAAAGCAGATAATACATCGGCTAATGTATGAACATATCTGAACGAACCCAGAATTGATTAAATACAATATGAGTTATCCTAAAAATACACTGACGGACAAAATTAGGGCACCATCTATACATTTCAAAGAAAAATATTATAAACCCAACATAATTTTGTCAAACCTCAAATCATTGTTTTTTAAATTAATATGAGAATATTTTCGATGAAAAAATAAATTAAAACATCAATCACTAGTCTATCAGATGTTTGGTAAAAATATATAAAAAATAAATTTTGAACGGTCTTTAACCGTTTCAAAATCGTGTATTGCCTGCCGCCTCTATCTCGAATAACTTCCTACAAGCGTCTTGGAATACCATAAAAAAAGGGTTGTAATGAGTTCTTGTGGTATTTTGTGCCATTCTTGAAGAACCGCGTTTGGACTACCGCAGACATCGCGACACCTCCCCACTGGGACGAAGAGACGTTGGGCGCCCCAGGAAACGATAGAGCGACAGCCTCGCGCAAGTGGACGGTAATTGAACAGGCGATTCGCCTAAAATCAGGAATGAAGAAGACGGAATGGAAGGGTGGACTTTAACAAAGGCAATGTGTGGCATAGACGCGTTCGAGGTGTGATGCTACTGTCCTCTGCTGCGAATATCATGGATGGACAGAGTGCGGAACACCAAGGTGCTTGCCCATCTCCGGAAGCAACTAGCAGTCGTGTTTACCATCAAGAAACGCAAGTTGGAAAATTTTGGACATGTCATGAGATGGAAAAAGTACCGTATCTTGCAGAATACCATGCAAGGCAAAATCCAAGGAAGAAAATGTCCAGGAAGAAGACGCACTTCCTGGCTGAAAAACCTGAGCAAGTGGTATGGTGTTGATTCTGCAAACCTGTTTCGTGCCGCTGCTGATAAAATCAAAAGCAGAATGATGATCAGCGACGTCCTAGGAGGACATGGCACGTGAATAAGAAGATTGAATGATCAGAAAAACTTACCTCTAACTTTTCATGAGTTGCTCTGCAGTGATTTGACAGAAATAGAGCACTGTCGAAAGACATGTCACATACGTCACAGGATACAAAATGTATTTTTCTGTGATCAATCATCTCCTGTTTGCTTTCACAGACCAAGTTGCACTTATGACAGATCTCCGTGTATTCCTTCAGATATGTCGTATTGTCACACTTATATTGAATTAGTCCAAGATTCAAATGGACACTTTCGTAATGTGATTTTAAGCAGAAGATGCAGCCAGATACCATGGAGCAGGACTTACAAGGATAACAGTGTAAGGCGTCGTTTGACTCAGATTGACAGGAATAGACCAGCACATCGTTGGGCAAGTCTTGAGAAGGATCTGTGTCAATAGGATCCTGGAAAAATAACAACATTATCATATGCGTAGCATTCAAGCAGCTATAATTTATTATTACTGTAGTAATACATGTAAATTAATGTTCTGTTAAGGCTTCTTTGTACATGTTTCTTCCTTTGTCGAGAAGTCATTGTGAGTCTTTTAAATGTTAATTAATTATCTTTTACAGACATAGTTGGTTTTCATATCATTGGATGTAGGATTGGCAATTCGATTTAGTTATAACAACGTGCGTGAGTCAACTCTGGTTGATTTGTCACAAAAAATCACACGAAATTTGAATATCAGACATTTATGTGCATTTTGACGTCAAAATTTAATTTAAATAAAAAAACGTCTTCTAGAGAATGTAAATCGTTCGTCAATCAATAGAGCAATACCAAATAAAATAAATCAGAAGTCAGTAACAAAGTGACCAATATCTTATCAGAGGACGCAACAAGAGGGACTGACTAAAAGGCAGAGAAAAAACTGCCCAAACCCCAACGGTATCCAAGTGGAGATGAATGATATTGAGATATGAGAGATAAATGCAAAAAATATTTCAAATAGTGAAAACCTATTTGTTAATTATAATAACAATAATACGGCGGCGCGTTTTCCAGTCTAGTTGTTTTTACAAATGCACAATTGCAAATGAAAATGCAATTCATTGAAATCGGACTTAATTTAAATCATTTAAAACTTTTCTTCCCATCCCATGTAACTTTTCTTCCATTGTTCCGCTTCAAACTACACTGATGGATAAAATTAGCGCATCCCCTATACATTTTCGAATAAATCATTTTTCCCCAAGTAGGCTGCTAAATAACGGAACCATAGTAACATTGTACAGTACCATTGTTTTTCCAATGCAAGATTGTTAGTACTTGTTTTGTGTCATTTGCAAAATATCATCATTGTTTTCAGAAAGTATGGTACTGTTTTCGATTCATTTTTCCTGCTTTTTACTAACTTGTGTGTGTAACTAAAGTGTATTCACATTGAAATGTCCCCAGACATTAATTTAAGTGAGTTTGATGCGGTCAAAATTGTCACCTTGTTGGAAGAAGTATTAAGTATAAGGAACAAGTATTGAACATAATTGCAGCAGGGCCTTCCAGGGGCACTCAGAGCATTGCACAACAACTGACACTTTCCCATGCATCAAATAAATACCGGCTACATTCCTACCACGTATGTAAGATTGATTGGACCACCACGATTGAAGAAGAATGGACTACTGAACACCGGTATAAATTGAGCAGGAGCTAATTAACCGAATACGAGAAGCTGCTCGAGAAGAGTGCATAAAAAGGTGATACACAGGCACTTGTTTGGAGTTGCAGACGCAAATGTATGTTTTTCTATTTTGTAAACAAATTAATAATTCGAGGTTATGAGTTTCGAAATAGGTTCTGTCATTCAAAGATTCCTGTTGAATTTACCGTTTATACTTGTCTATCTTATTTGTCACTTGCTCCATTTATAATTTATCCATGGTTACCGGAGTTTTAAATAATTACGAAGCAACAGATATTTACGTAATGTTAATTAGCCAGATTACCTTGAAAAACATTGTTGCCGTTTTTCTAATATAGTTTTTTGCAAATTTGTCATTTTTAATAACAATTAATTAATTAATTATTTTTTTGCTTTTTTGCTATTTTTTCTGTACTCCTAAAACGCCACCAGACAACACCTCCAGTGGAATAACGCCAATTTTGAATCACCCTGTATAGGGTGTTCCATTTAAAATAAGCAAGTTGATATCTACTTAATACTTAAGTATAACCGGACGTGTGGCCATCTTAAAAATATTTTAGACCGCTTGCCCCCAATGACTTCCGCACACTGTTCAATTTTCAAATTTCTCTAATTATAGTTGCCAAATATTGATCGCGGCGGTTCCCAGTGGGACACCCTGTATAGAAACGCCACCATGCATGTGAAAATTGACGATAGAAACATCTAAAATAAACCTAGATGGAGGAGTTCAGAAAGATGACACCATATCACCAAAACTGTTCACTCTGGCACTTGTATATATACATGGTGATTCAAAATTGGCGTCATTCCTTTTAAGGGCTAATAGGGGCTCACTTATACATTACGAGAAAAAAAATATTGAAAATTTTTTTCGATAATTTCTAGACGATCTTAACAGTTGAAAATCGAATTTCAACTTTGTTATTTTCAAGCATTATTTTGCAATTCTTCCATGTTTAATTGGTAGCATACTTAATTCAAACAGAAAAACAGAAACATTCAAACAGAAAAAAATACGACCTTTGCTTCAAATTACGAAAATTTATATACGATTGATGAACACCGGTACAAATTGAGCAGGAGTTAATTAACCGAATACGAGAAGCTGCTGGATAGGAGCGGATAATAAGGAGATAACAGGCACTAACTTGTTTCGAGTCCATGACTCAAATGTATGTTTCTCTGAAAACATACATTTGATAAAACCGGATCAGAAACGAGGAGATAAGAAGACGAACAAAGGTGACCGATATAATCCGCTACATGGCCGAGATGAAATGGAGATGGACAAGCTATGTTGCAAGGCAGGACGATGGACCAACACAGTGACACTAGGAGAAGTAGAGGAAGGAGACTGGGCACAACTAGCTCGATATCGACAGGAATGAAAAAGACTACGGAGAGGCCTCTGTCCAGGAGTGGACCAGATAAGGCTGACATAAAAGAAGAAGAACAATTTTCAATCGGATTATAAAATGAAACTTTTTATTTAAATTGAAGCCAAATCCTAAAACTATTCTAACCTAAAAAGTTTTGAATTTGTTACCTCAATACCGGAAATTTAATAAAATAATTGCGTTCTTTTTACCCTATTGTACGCAAACAAGAATAAGGCGGACGCATTTGCCAGAAATTTTTAAGGGATCTTTACAACCTTTATCTATGTTTACAACTTCCAACAACCCGATCTTTGGCTACCAGAACTGAGACTGAGTGACTCAGTTTGGAATCATTCACTGAAGAAGCACTTTTTTAAATCTAAAAACGGTGGTTTCAGAATAAGTTTGCGAGCATTCCTCCAAGGATTCGGCATTCCAAAGTTTTTGAACGATCACAGTACTTATCTCTCTTAAAAAGTTTTATCTAAATAACCTGTCGCCAGTGGCGGATAAAAGGGGGAGGGGGGTGCAGGGGATACAATATATATGCCGTGTCCGTTAGATGCCTTATCGTTGGACATCCGACGGAGGTAGGATTCTGTGACATTTGTATAGGAAAATGAACGTCAATTGGACAAATTATGGACATCCATTGTTGCCTTATGGAAGTCCACTGGATTTAATAATGCTGTCTGGGTACATATATGTACATATTGTGTATATGTACAGATGAATATACCTAGTATGTTCAAATAAAATATTCCGGTGATATTCATGAATGTATATCCACGGTATATTCCAAATTGGTTGAATATACATTTTGCGTGCCCCCCGCAGAAAAGTAAGGGCATGTAAAAGTAAATCCTCTTACTACTAAAACTTAAGACCCTTATGAAATGCTGAAAATATGGTGTTTATTGGACCAAGTTTCCATTTCCAGGCAAATTCTGGGAATATCATTTTGCTATGTGGGAAGGCGGACGCATTCGCCAGAGATTTTCAAGGGATCTTTACAACCTTTATCTATGTTTACAACTTCCAACAACCCGATCTTTGGCTACCAGAGACAGTGAGTGACTCAATTTGGAATCATTCACTGAAGACGCACTTTTTTAAATCTAAAACCGGTGGTTTCAGGATAAGTTTGTGAGCATTCCTCAAAAGATTCGGCATGCCAGTTTTTGAACGATCACAGTACTTATCTCTCCCCACTCCCCCTGAGCATAAGCATATACTTCTCATTACTTAACATGCAATTTAAAAGGGTTTCCTTTGTTGTTTTTTTAAAATACTCTTTATTGTTGTTTGTTGTTTCTGTGTGTCTGTTGGTTTTAAGTGCGATAAAAAACTTATAGAATAAAGGTTGTGCTAGACAAAAAGTCAATATTGCTTTATTACTGCCTTCCCCCCTTCAAGTAACTCCTAGATCCGCCGCTGGCCTGTCTTTAGGTTTATTATGCTCGTGAGACTTACTTAACATGCTTATCGAGTTTCATACTCAAACCTTCTGTGGTTGATGAATAAAAATGAATATCTACCCGTTGAGGCAGTGCACTTTAAGAGCTCCAACCTCTCCTAAGCGACATGGCTTTTGGAGTAGAACATGCCCTTAAACTGTCGCATATTAAAATTGAACCTCCCGGTTTATCTGTCGTATTCTGAGACTTTTTTTTTAACGAAAGCCAATTGATCTAAATGCATATTGAACGTATTGTTACTATAAAAGGCAACGGCCAGTTTAAAGCAAATGTGTTTTTGTTTACCTGGTCTATTAAATTCAAATATTCTCCTTCATCAGTGCCAGGTATCTCGTATACTTTAATCTCGTCCGTTTCACACAGTAACTCGCTTGAATTAAAACCAACATCAGAATTGGAAGAACACTCCCGTTTAATGTTTATGGTCACTAATTCTGGAATATCCAGTGGTTCCTCGTCGGGTTTATCATTCTCTTGGATAATTTCAATAATAATGTTATCTGCTGTTAGTTCGGAGCGATCGTTTTGATTTTTCCCGGTTTCTGGTTCGTTCTCGTCGGGCTGGTTCATTTTAGTCCTTCGTTTCAGTCAGTTTTGTTCGCCTTCTTGTCTGATCCATTCACTGTCACTAGCAGCTGCTTATGGTTTTTGACAATTTCACCGGTGTTGTCGTCGTTGACTCGCGTCTAGCAGTAAGAAGTATAAGTAAAATCGTATAAGAATAATATAGAAGTATAATAAATAGTATAAGTTAATAGATACTATTCACTCTGAGGATAAGCGCGGATTTTATAAAAATTTACTTAATTTACAAAAATACTTAGTAATACTACAAATTTAAAATATTAAAAATATAAATTTATATTTATATGTTATTTATATAAGTATTAAAAAAAAATTAAAATATTACGAAGTATTTTTTTGAAATGTATGTATGTTTGTATTGCCATATAAATTATTCCTAGGGTTTTTTTTTCATCTCGAGTGGGCGGTTTGCTCACTTGAGATTTTTTTTATTTTATTTTAAATTTATTGAATTACTAATATAGCTATTAAAAGATAGGGGTTTATGGCAGCACCCATATCACTTAGGGGTATAAAAAAATAGATAGCAACCTATTCTCAGACCTACTGAATATACATACAAAATTTCATCAAAATTGTAACTAAAACTGTGACACGAGAATTTAATATATATAGATTGCTAAAATTATTTTTTAAGTTTTAAATTAAATTTTACGAAAAAAGTTCTTCTTCAAACGATTCTGCATGATCCAAAACCTAAAGCAAAACCATCAGATATAAATTGTTTTAAGTCGGATACAAGGTATATTAGAAAATATCAATTTTCTCAAGAATAAATCTTAAATAAACATTATCGAACTTTACTGTACAGTACGTTACGAACGTTAGATACTAGGGAGCTTTTAGTGCCCTTAATTGCAACACGTTTTACGTTATCCGTTATTCTGAGCATGCGCATTAGTAAATAAATAACCGTTTGCGTTATTAGAGGATAACGTGTTCCTTTATTTACGTACGAGTAGCGGTAACGTTAATAAGCATCACGTTAAAAAGCAGAACGACAGTGATGACATATTTGACTTATTTCTAATATTTTTAATAAAATGCTATAATAGAATAAGAAATCTTTGTAAATTTAGATAAGACTTTCTCATTGATTAGTTTACGCCATTATTGTGTAATTGCGGATTTCATGTGAACATTGTTTGGGCAAATTTGAACTTTGGCAACACTACTAACATCACAATCACATGTTCTAACTTCTAACCCATAACCTAACTATTTGATTTTGAATTTTTATTTAATATGTTCGGAATATGTTCCTTCTGAAAGCTAAAATTAATAAGGCGATCTCTGGGCTCAATATTTTCAATTTTCTAAATAGATTCACTTATTATTTATTTTAAATCTTTGTTAGGTACTCAAAGAAAATTCTTTATAAAAAGTTCCCCTAATTGTTTAAGATCTCTTCATTTTTTTTCATTTGAAACCATCAACACAATTTGGGAAGTGTTTCAGCAGAGAAATTGTCAAACACTTTAAAAACTGTCTTACCCATAGAATTTAGGAAACTTTATGCAATATATTTAAATATGCTCCTTCAATTTGTTTTGCAAAAATACTTCACACTAAATGTTAGTTTTCAAGCTGCGCGCCATTCACCTGTACCAGAACTGTCAAAATCGTCGCATAATATCTGTCACTAAAAAATTTAATACGCTTGCAAAACTTCCAGGGGGAATCTATTGATTTATTTCCTGAAAGCAACAGCGCCTTCAAAGGATACGTGTTTTTCTGAAGCAAATGACAATTGACATTTGACATTGATTGCGTCACTATCCTTTATAGCCTTTATAGCGTCACAGAAGTCATTGCAGACCTTCAAATGTCCTTTTGTGAGTTCAACAACGTATAAAGCTAAATGAAAACGTTTTGGAAACACTGCTAGTTGCTTGACAGACAGTGAAGTATTGGAGCTGCTTGTCATTCTCTCAAATGTCAAATTCATCGAAAAAATAGGCAAATCCGCCTTAACAGAGCTAAAAAATTGACAACATTCCATTAATTTGAATCTTGAACGTCAAGTAGCTACAGCAAAGTCTTAAGACGATAGACACCTTTCAAAGGCTATTCAAAAATTGACGTTTGACATAGACAGTTTGACAATACGACATTGAAACCTTTAAAGATGGAGGAACCTTTTTGCTGGTTCTGAAACACCCAAAACACAATGGAGACCACTCAAAACAGGTACAAGTTGACAGTTAATGTGGTATCTAGCTAGACATACGTATCTCAACGCTTCCAAGCAAGGACCCGGTGCAAATCGAAAAACCGAATAATAAACTGTATGCAAGAATCTGGAATGAACCCGATAAAACTGAGACAAAATTAAAACGTAGGCAACCCGCTGTCCTGATTGGTGTTTATCTCATTCTATCTTATGGACATTCGCGGAGATTCGCTGCTTCTTATTATGACGGAATTTTGGTGCAAGATTTAACAATTTTGGTATTCTTTTAAACCATTACACTATGATAGTTAAGTTATTGCTGAAAATATAACAAACCTGAACTTTTACAGTTTTATCTTAAAGTTTTCAGGTATAAAAAATCGGAATAATGTAGGAGCAAAAAAGTAAAAGCAAAATTCATACACGTAAAATTGGTATACAATACTTTATTTGTATAGTACAAAAAAAAAAGTTTAACAAAAAACTTCTACTTACACTTTTTAATTTAAGTTTTAACAATTTTTAAATAATACGAGTTTTGTCATTTTTGTCTTACTGTTCAAAATATTTGTTGTGACCACTTTTCTCTGTTGCATTGATAACGTCTTTCATGTTACGAATTTTTACATCTTTCCAATCTTAATCTTCTGCTTTAACGTTTTAACCTTTCTTTGTAACGTTATTCTCCAATGACTATTTGGAATTCCTTATCAATTAACTTCTCCACAGATGCGGTAGATGTAGAAGTAGTGTGTAAACCAATCTCTATTAATTCATTTTCAGCTTGAAGGTTTGTAGCAGGAATGATCTACAGGCAGAATTACACCACGCGTAAACTAGTCAAAACATTTTTAGTCGCGTATTATAAGTCGCGAGTTGAACCAGAGGCAAGTAATTCTTGTGTCAGTACAAGTATACCTTCCCAGATAGCACAAAATATTACATTCATATTTATTAAATATTTATATGTTTGGTAAATATTTCATAGCAAAAGGAAATATTTTTTAAAATTTATAAAAAAATATTTGTTTTTAATATTTAATTGCCATGAAACAAATAAATTAATAATAATTTTTGTTAGTACATAATACTTTTTGTACCTATACACTATTAACACCCAAAAAGTTACTAATATATATTTCTTAATACGTGTGAACAAACTTTAGAACATATTATCTCAATTTTTGTCTTTGTGATTGAGTCACAGACTACATACTATTGGATTGAGTCTGAGTTCAACTACCGATGGGGGCGCTGCAAAACGTCAAATTACTCGTTGCCGATCAAAAAATCTTTTTGTTCACAAATAGCGTTAGAAACAGCTCAAAATTCACATCAAAATCAGTAAGTTGAAAGTTTTAAACAAACTGAATTATTTGAACTGCTTATCTAATTATCCATGCTGACATTCCCCGAACCATCTTTAACTTTAAAATCTGCATTAATTTTTGTTATCGAGAAGTAATTTTCCTAGAACTCCTCAGATCACTGAAATGCAAAGACATCATTTACCAGTGTGTTAATAATGTTAATAGAATATAAATATGGGTGATCGTATGTCGTTTGAGTCGCTCCGAATTTTTAGTTTTTTTCTTTTTTTACGCTAAGGAACAATTCAAATTAAGCCCTTTCAGAGGAAACAAATCCTGAATGGTCCATAAATTCATTCAAAAACACTCACAAACTTTTGCAATTCGCTTTTCCAAAACCTTATTATTTATGCACGAAAATGAGATTGTTCGGTACTGCTAAATCGTGCTTTGGTCTGTCATTACTCGCTAAGTGTAGTTTATAATTTAACCGTCAGTGGGCGTTAGGACCTTTAAATTCGCAAGTAACAGCAAAAATGACGACCCAAATTGGATAAATCCACATGTTACGTATCCAAGAAAACAACTTAAAACGTTTTTCGTAATTTGGCCACACCGCTCGAAATTTAGCCGCAAAATGGTGATTTTCCGCAAATTTTGTGTGTTTTTTTTGCTTTATTTTATGGGCCATCCAGGATTTTTTTTCTCCGAAATTGCTAAATTTAAAGTGTTTTTTAAAGAAAAACAAAAATTTCGGAGGGACTCAAACCACACGATCATCTAATTATATGGATTCATTCAGTCTCCGTTCCGGTAAAAAAAAACGGTTCTGTTCCGGTTTGACTGGTCCCTTGGGCGCGGCTCCCTAGCTCAAACCTCTCACTTTCTCACTCTCACAGGGACGAAGGGTTGCCAGGTCCGAAAATCGAGTTTCGGTAGATAAGCTCGACAGTTTTCGGTAGAAAATCGGTAACATTGGCTGATGAGTGAGGTAGAATAAGCATGTTACAAATACAATTGGTTAAAATTGGAAACATGAATGTATCATCTCCATATTTGGAAATTTTTTAAACTTTTATTTGTTACTTTTCGGTAGAAATTTGCATGATATCGGTAGATCGGTAGGTTCCTTGACAAATCGGTAGATCTACCGAAAAATCGGTAGATCTACCGAAAAATCGGTAGACCTGTCGTCTCTGCAGGGACGTGACAAGTGTCCATAAAACATCCCCCTTTAGAATCGTAACTAAAAAGTGCTAAGTTAATATGTTCCCTGGACGCGGGGAGCCGCTAGATGGGGCGATATGTTGTATCTGTCCGAGTGAAGGCGAACACTGTGGTATACATAATAGGAACAAACATTTTTTAAGAAGTTAAAATCGCCAAAAAATTGTTGTAACTGATTTCGTGATAATGTATTTAATGTAATATTATCATAAGTTCGCCTTTATTGAACGGAAATTTATACTTACTAGTTTGATCAAATTTTTGGATCAAAATTGGCCTGATCAAATTTGGTGAATGCAATCAGGAATAAAATATAAAAAAAATGACTCATATTCCAACCGAGTTTCAGTTTCAATTCTAAAGGGAGAATGTTCTGTGCAAGTGTCAGTCATATGTCATATGTTAGAAGTTAGAGTTGTCAAAATTTCAATAACAAAGTGATGGTTAGTATTTTATAGTGTATTTTATTTACAAAATGTGATTGCTGTTCAAGTTTCGGGGATATTCGTGTTTTTACAGGTTGTTAATTAATTGGTAAGTGATTTTTTTGATTATCTATGATTTAAGATCGAACCCTCACAAGCGTGTTATAGTTTTATGCCAGGAAAAGAAATATTGGAGCCTATTTTTAGCAAAAAATCAGTTCCTTCTCACAAAACCCACCATTTAGTGTAAAAAAATTAAAGGGGTCGTAAATATACATTTGATATAGAGACACCTATATAGGTGGTAAAGAAGCAAATATGTTTTCGTTATTATTTAATAAATTATATATTTCAAGTTAAAAATGTGGACAAAATATGCAAGAAAACAATCCTACTACTACCACTAAAAAATTACTGTTTATAAATGAACCCGTGCATGTTATGGTGATGGCAGAGCCACTTTAGTCACACGTAAACAAGCGGAAAATGTTCAGTTCGTGACGTTTTTTACGGACTTAGGCATATGTAAAGAACAGTATCTCTATCGCTCCTACAACGGGATTTCTTGATAGTCGCTATTATCTGAGGGTATAAGCCATATTGCGAACTCCTCAAGTGAATTTTATACAGACCTTTGGCCTTTGCCGCGATTTTCTGTTAAGCATTACTATTCTAAGGCGAAAACTACCTCTTAACCAACCTAAACTCCATTAGTGGCAAAGTTACGCCAACTAAAAATATTTTGTTGCACCCAAATAAGCTTTCTTGAGCAGACTTTGTTGATAACACACTTTTTCTTAAAAATATAATTCAGTGTTCAAGTTTAAAGTGAGCATTTATTTAAGTACCTTACTTTTGGATCTTAATTGCATTGTGAGATTATCCTGTAAACAAAGTTTTAACACAATCTTGCAAAGTAAAATCCCCTTTAAACATACCAAAAAACTCGGTTTTTTAAATTGCATGTAGATGTCTTAGTCTATGCATTCGCCATTTTATGTGCAGTTCTAAATATGGCTTACGTAGTGGTTCAAACTGCTATCAGCAAATGTTTCAAAATCACGTTTGTCTTTTGAATCTTTTTTATAACTTAGTCGACTGTTGGCAAATTTCGGAGACCCATAGCGGACTCAGCATCATCCTCTTGATATCCAAGTTTTGCATTCAGATCTCCTATTAGAAGATTGCATTGAGCTGGTGTTTTTGCCATCGTTGCTGCAATATTCACTTCGTCGTCCGAATGTGTAGTTGTGGGGGCATAGACCTGAATAACTTTTAGTTTGTATTTTGAGCTCAGTCTTGGTACAAGAAATGCCACTCTCAACTTTGCCTGCGTGTTTCTCGTTTATTATCAAACCTACTCCTCCATCCGTCGAGTCGTTGTCTCTTTTATGATAGAACAGCTGTCCTTACTTCAGTCTTAGCTGTTGTTCTTATTTTCTTCTGACTTCACTCAATCCTTCAACCGAGAGCCGGTGAACTGCCGGGGACTGAAGGCCTAAGTTTCTTGTCGTCATACATACATACATGAGGGGTTTTTTTGACGACGTTGAGCTAATAGGCTTGAAACCGGTCCTGGGGGTGTCTGAGGTTAGCACACCTCGAAATCTGCACTTGCTTACATCAAATCTTGTGCACTTAATTTGGTACTCTTTGTATATTAACTTGTAGAATACCTATGTTTTTGCGTTATAAAGTACTTGTTTCAAGGCAGGCTTCGGCTTTCATAGTGGTGAATGTGACTTACATACATACTTAATAGCTGTCTTACATTTTCCAGTGACTAGTATATATTTTTATTATATTCTTTTCCTTCCTGGGTTTCAGTCAAAGTGTGAAATACAAATGTGTATATCGTTTATTTAATAACGTTTCGGCGAGACAACAGCGCCATCATCAGATTTAAAATTCATACACTCATAATTGGTAAACATTACATTCTTTAAGGTCTTGAAACCGTTTAAAAACTGGAAACAGAAATTTTGTTTTAAAAACAAATTTAAGGTTTCAAGACAGCAAATAATTTTGAATATAATAACAATTACACGCAGTCAGGAAAATAAATCAAAATATCTTTTTATACAGGGTGGTTTTTTAGTGCGATAGAGTCCATTATTTCCGTTGGTGTTGAACTTTCGAAAAATAGTGTCATATAAAAGTTGGTGACGCACAAAGTGCGCACATTTTAAAGATATCTTATATGATACAAAGTCTACATTGTTAACACGCTGTACAATGTATTGATATTTTGGCTAAATAGAATTCTTAACGGATCTGTGGTGATTGGAAAGACGTATTTTTTGTATCCTTAACTGCTTTTTTTTGCTTCTACAATGAATTTTTAGATACCATGTTTTTAAGCAAAATTTTACTAAAATGCCGACAATCTGCCCACGTCGCAAGGAAGAAAAAAATAATTTAAGTTGCATTTGCAGCGTGGAGCATTTCAGTTGCATAAAAAAGTTATTCAGGATTTTGAAGATATATTTTTAGAAGCTTTTAATAAAAGGTTTTTCCTTTGCAACCTAAATCATCTTATTGACCACGGAAATCTTACTCATTTTTAGGGATGTAGTAGTAATGTAGAAAGTAAATTTTGCGAATATTATTCTCAGCAGTGTTTTCAATACAATTATTGAGGTAAAACTAATAATCATGTAGGCAAAAACATGAAACGAAAATTACAAACTTTTGTTAAGTAAATAAGAACTAAGTACGTAGTTACGACTACCAAAATTCACAACCTTCCCAACCGTAAACCAATTTTATAACCCAGATTTAAATCACTTTAAAATGTACTTTTCCTTGGAAAACTTACATTTTTCCAGGTAGTGTAACTTGTAATTCGAATCATAAAATCAAGTAATTACTAAAATTAGCAGGAAATATAATCCATACTAAAGCCCTCGTAATGGGAAATAAACTGGCCTGCATAGAATGACGTCACTCGTAAGCGATTGTTGCATAAAGCCATGGATTACTACGTTTGAAGAAGCAGGTACAACCAACAAAAACAAACACATTGGGCCCATAAAAACCACCAGACCCCTCCAACACATTTCTCGCGTTAGAAAATCTATAGTCGTCGCGTTTGTGTAAACTGTAAACCATTTTTGCTTGGGACTTTGCACAAGGATCTAAATTTTCATCCATACAAAATCCAGATCGTTCAGGCTCTAAAACCGATAGTTTAACTTTTACAATTTCGTGAAATGTTCTTTGAACGCGAAATTGATATTTACAACTTGCACAAACTGAAAATGCTAAGCAATCGAAAATCCGGAGAAGCTTCAGTAGCTGAAAGCAGCAATTTCATGTTTTTCATGCATTTCAATATCTTTAATGGGAATTATTGATTCCTATTTTTTTGAGGATAATGCTGAAAATGCTGGTAAATGGTATTACCATATATACAGGGTTATTCACGCTATACGGCACGGACGTTTGCGGCTAGCCCGTTTGTTTTTTGCAAAGTATTATTTGATTAATCCACATACGCCTATCGGGTGCACATTTTAAAAATATTTTTGTAATGTACAGAGTGTCTTAAAAGCCCTAAAAGTATCAAAGTTGTATTTTTCTAAATGAAATACCCTATATATTATTGCATTTTTGGATCCTCTGAGTAAAATAAGTGTTTGTTTTAATAAGATTTATAAGGTCTAAATCTAAAGGTTTTTTTAATAATTCGAATTTTATCAAAATCTAATATTATTTTTATGTGTCCGATACTTTAGAATTATTTAAGTTACGTAAACGTAATTTGTAGTGTACTGTAAGAAGAAATTATATTTTATATCCCAATGATAATAAACTTACCATTTTATACAGGGTGTCCACAAATTTAAACTAATCAAATAAGAACTTTAAGTGGCTCTAACTTGATTAATTTAAATACAATCCCATATTTTTTAGCTTACCAAGAAACGCAATTTTTAATTACCTATCGAATGGTACTAGGATGTTGATAACTAAGTTTTTGCTTTTTTACAAAATACACCAAATAATGGTTCTGTGCACCATTTGGTATTTTTTTTAATTAAAAGGTTAAATAACATATCAGCAATAACATAAAACAAAGGCAAATTATTTATAACAAATGTTCGAAATGTTGACCGCCCATTTCCAGGCACTTGTAAATTCTTTTTTCAAAACCACTGCTAA